AATATATTAATTATTAATTTTATAAACTTGTTATATAAGTATATTTTATATAAAAATTTACTATATTTTTTATATTTATAAGTACTTATTTATAAATTATTCTGAAAGAATATAATCCTAGTATATTGGTTAGATTATTATTCTTCAAATAGTAAGTCTAAGGTTCAAATTCTATCTATAATAAAATTTGGAAATTAATCTATATTACAAAAACTGTCTGATATTGATCAGTTAGATTTAGGTATCTGTAATTTTAAGTATAACCAATTAGGTTCTACTTGTTATTAGGAGTCCAGAACATCTATATGAAATGTAATATTATATATATATATAGGAATGTTAATAACTGACATTGTATAAATCTTTAGTACAAATATATAATAAGACTATTAGATTCAGAAAATCAAAAAACTAAAGAGACAGAATCCTATTTGAAAATACTAAAAAAGAGGTATCACAAATCTTTAATAGTACTGTTAGACTAATATAAGTTCAGAAAACCTAAATAAGGAATAGTTAGATATGCAACTAGATGATAAGATGTATAGAGAAACATATGACCAACTAAATTATCAGAACTACTAAAGAAAAAGGATACTAAGATATATTATATTAGGCTATCTGGATTAAAAGTTTGAAGAGTCTGTCAGATTCTAAGTTGGATAGTAGAAAAATAAAAAGAAAAAGTCAAAATGATAAGTACCAGAATTTGGATAAACTTTATAAGAATAAAAATAATATAATGTAGTGATTTAAAGTTAGTTTTGACTGCAAATATTAAGTAACTATAACATGTTATATAAAAACTAGATTAGTTGTATGTAGACATAAAGGCTTTGATAAATTTATCTTGAAAATAAAATAGTTTTAAGGTTGAGATGTGAATCTAAATACAAGTAATCTAGTAAAGTTGGTACAAGAGTTTCAGATTAGAAAAATTAAATAAAACACCTAAGCAGGAGTGTTAGATAAAGCAACTGGTAAAGAACTTTTGAATAAATTTCTTAAATAGGTAATATAAAAAAATTATATATATAGTCAGTTGTATACTCATTATAATGTTTGACAAAAGTATTAATAAAATCAAAAGTTCAAAGAGATTACCTTAATACTAAAAAAAAAAAAATTATTTTAATAAAATGTTTTTTAAATTTTAAAAAATTTTATCTTATATATAAAATAATAAAACAAACATTTTTACTTAATAGACAAAATATAGTTTATATAATAAAAAAAAAAGTATAAATTAAAAACTATATAATTTAAATATTTTTTATAAATTTGTAAATTGATAAGAAAAAATATTTAAATAAAATAAAATAAAATTATTTTTAAACTTTAATATTATAGTATATATAATTCTAAAAGTATAGTTTAAAAATAACAATTATTAGATTTAATATTATTAATAAATTTTTTAATTTATTTTATAAAATATAATATATCAAAAATGATGATATGACCTATATATAGTTAACAGTTTAATAGTTAACTCTGACTGCAAGTGTTGACCTCAGTCATAACATATATATGTAACTATTTTAAATTATTAATAAAGATATAAACAAGACCTCACCTTAATACCAAAAAAAAAATTTATAATGAAAATTTAATGAATACTTAAGAATTTAACATTAATCTAAGATCTTGGGGTCTTCACTATAGATTTTGTGATTAGGGCGCAGAGTTTTACATAAGAATTGTAATACGCAAAATTACCAGGTGTATGTGATATTGTTGCATTACGTAATTTACATGTATCAGCCACTAAGCTATTACCAATTACTAAATTTAGATACATGATAGTACGTACGTAAAACGGAACCGAAATTGAAAAGGATATTTTATATAGAACTTGATAATAAAATAGATAAAGAAAGTTTAAGCATTCGTTACAATATATATGATAAAGAATTTACCTTCTTTGCCGTTGGTATCTTTTACTTACGTACCAAAAATTTTCTTTATTATTAAGTAACTCTTTTTTAAAAATAAACATAACATGCGTGTTAATAATGATATTTGGAATCATCTTACAAAAATTGGACCAGATGAAAGCTTTAACAAAGAACGTACTAAATGTAATTATTGCGATTAAACCTTGCAAAAAATACATAGAAACTCCCTATTTTGATTGGACAACGGCAACAATCAAAAATTTATTCAATTTTTACTAATGAAATCGTGGCTGCCCATTAAGTGAAATTAGGGTTGGGAAAATTTTAAAAAAAGTGTTATCATTACTCTTAAAATTATTAGATATATCGTCATTCTAATTAAGACGTTTTAGATGCCTCCCAACTGGTTCAAGTACTTCTTAAGGTCAAAAGTCAATTTAATGAAACAAAGTTAAAACGTTAGGAACGAATGTTACGTAACAAAATGTGATAATATCTATTTGAGTTAGAGATGGGCAAGGTAATTACTTATTACGTAAAAAATCAAATCACGTTGCGCGACAATTTACTAATAATATATACTTACAACCAATAACATGGAAATTGTCGCAGTGTGTGATTTAACTTTTTACGTAATAAGTAATTATTTTGCACGTCTCTGATTTGTGTTAGCATTTTTTATTTTCCCGACACGGTGGAATAAAGGGTGCCACTAATTAGTTTAAATTTTCTATACGACAAATTACGACATCGCGACATTGCGGCATTACGACATTATGACATCAAAAAATGTCGTAATCGTGCAAAGCTTAATAAAGTAACTTACTATTTAATTTGTTACGTAACACTAGGGTTGGAGGCACGGGGTTGAAAGGCATGCCTCTATCATGTGATACAGAACTATTATATAATTGGCTAATTGATAATTGGCCAATAAGAATTAAAGCCTACTATGCTAATTATGAGACGAAAAGGAAAACCTGTAAATCATTTCACTTATTATGTGAAATGATTTACAGGTTTTCCTTTTTCGTCACTCATATAATATATATATCTATAGGGGCATGCCCCAAAAATTTGCTGTGCCCCCAACCCTACGTAACACAGGTCGTTTCTGAAATTTTGATCATGTGATTATGATCACTAATTATAATATAAAACATGTAAACGCCCGATAAATTAATTTTCTGCTTAAGTAATGAACGCGGACGTGAAGCGAGAAAGAGAAATAATTGTCGAAGATATACTTAGAAAAGCGTGTAGAAATTATCTTTATGAATTCCTAATCCAACGAAAGGAGCAAACTTCCTTCACGAAAGAAATTCAAGCCGAACACGGGAGCTATTTTGTTTTACTACGTAACTTTGAGAAAGATAGCGAGCTCGGGGTCAACGCAAAGAGTGCTCTGGAAAAGTTTGAAGTCAAGTATTAGTTTTTCTTGATGCTGTGACATTCTGACATTACTCAGGCAAGAGCATCTGAGGTTTGTTCTTGTTATGATCTGCGGTTTCGAGTAATGATCAGTTAGGGCTTTCACCAAGTAAGGGCATCTGCGGTTTGCTCTTATGATGAACTGAGGTTCGGGCTTTATCCATCAAGAGCATCTGAGGTTTGTTCTTGTGGTCGGATAAAGTTTAGTCAGTCACAGCTATTACACAACGATGAATAATACGTTTTTTAAAGACACTGACGCATTTTTTTTTTTTTTAAGATGGAAAAAAAAACGTTGGATGTAACCAATTTTTGGAAGGATGTTCAAATCTCAGAAGAGGAAAAAACCGCAGTTCGATCTGCTTCATTGGGACACCTTAATATATTTGGAAAATCAGTTAGGATTTGAAATAGAGCATTTATAGAAGGATCGGGATTGTATTTTAACACTTATTCTGTTAACAGCTCACTCAATACTCAAATGGGCAGAAAATATTGATTAAAAATACAAATTTACCAACTAGTCATTATCGAAAACTAGAAATGCAACAGGAATTTCAAGAATCTGATACAGTGTTCGATGCAATACAGAGTGGTATGTTTGATTTAAATTATTAACATTATTAGCTATCATTACAATATTGTTATCATTAAACATTCTTATATAAATAACGGCGAATTATAACAAAATTCAAATCACTTCTTCGTCACGGATACTGGAAATCAAAATTATCAAGAACTATTTGGTGATGACATAGATACTATAACCAATGGTTCAGATAATTATTTGAAAAAGGCGGTGGAATCCATGGTTGGGAAAGTGGAAAGTGGCGTGTTGATGGTAGACAATGCCGATCTGGAAGAAATTTTCGAAAAGTACCGTGATGAATGTGAAAATGAATTCGAGTAAGTAAAATCAGCTCCTGTAATTATATAAACTAATTTTACTTATTGCTTTTGTCATCAGTTTATGCCATAGTGATATTATGGATTTGAGACCCACCTCACAATTGACGAAGATTATTTCTGAAGATACATGGGAGAGATTTATCTCGGATACATATCCAGAATATGGAATAACAGAAAAATGGGAAGAATTGATACGAAGTTTATTCAAGGTATATCCTAAAATTTAGGAAATATTAAATTATTTTAATCCTAATCGTAATTTGTCATTCCTAATCGTTATTTGTCAATTAGCCAAAAGACACTTTAACCGAATGGGAGAAAGCCTGGCGTGGACTTCTTGACAAAAAAGAAAGTAACAGCGATTCAGTGATAAAAGACACTTTGTATAATATTCTTTCTCCATAGTACGTTTAGGTTTTCGTGTTTTTATACCTAGTAGTATATTGTTGTGATTATATTTTTTTTTTAGCATCGAGGTTTTTAAAGCACCGGTTAACATACTCAAATCCGGCGACCTGGAAGAAAAGCAATATAGTTCCCAGTTTGTAAATCCTATTTTAAAAAATACGCTCAAGGCTATCATTGATGTGGATTGGAGAATGTGAGTGAATTTGATTTATCCATTCAGAAAATTATTCATTTGTAGTGATTAAAATTATTACCGGTTAATAGTCTAGAAGTTCCTATCAGAAGTAGCAAATTTCGACGTAATTCTAATATAAACCCATTTATTGATAGAGTTTTGAGTGCAAAACGTGCCGATGGTTTGGCTCGCCTGTGGCAAAGCCAGGAAGAAACTTTTGTATACGAACAGACAGGACCACCGGATGTTGATGATGTTACCGATTTTTACATCCATGATTACAGATTGGCTCGAACTATGCGTGATGTGTTGAATCAACGAATGATTATTCGGCTTAACAATGGTATAAGGGATTACAATAACTTGGCAAGTTTTGGCGCTCTGGGTCATCGGGATGAAGTATCTCTGCTTTGGTGCACTTTACACTCAAGATCATATTGTTTACGGGAATATGGAAGTTTTCGTATACCTGCAATATGGCAAGATCTTCATGTTTTATCTGAGGCAATAATAACATGCCTAAAATTTTTTGTAAGTGTCACTAAGATTATTCGGTTCTGTTTTTATTGTTTTTACTAATAATTACCTGTGTTCAGTCCTTCATTAAAGAAAACACCGCAAAAATCGAGTCACGTACTGATCAAAAAATGAAATTACTTTCCAAGCGGAAGGTTCATACAGTGACACCAAATCCACCAACTCCTGATAGATCAAGAAAACAAGATTTTCGATCAAAAAAACAAAAGAAATGAATGTCATTTTTAATTTCTGTTTGTCAAATAAGTTACTTTTAATAGAGATCTGTATGATCTTGCAATTCATAATTTGTACGTCGTGAATAAATATTTTTATTCATTGATTTTTACATAATATTTTTTGATCTAATTTCGATCCCCATAGCAAATGTGATTTACCGATTCCCATAGTATATTACAAGAAAATAAAGAAATTTTAATAAATTCAATTTCCGGCATAACTATGTACATCATTTCTAAACAAATAGTAAATTGGTCAAAATTCTTTTGGATTTTATTTTTAGCCACTTTTGAAATGTCCTAAAAATTGGACTGACAACAAATTTCTTTATGTCAAGAAAATCACAAGCTGCCGGCCAAAAAGATGTGGGTCGTAGTAAATCGTTTCTTATAAGTAAAATTTCATTCTGAAAACTTTTACTTAGAGGTCGGAAGTTAGTCATCATAGTAAATTTTTGTTATTTACGTTTTTTATAATTTCTTATGTTTTTCGCGTTTGTTTTGTTACATGAGATTTTGTAATTTTATTGGATCCGGATAGGGTCGAAAGTGATCTTCAGCGATCTTCAGCCCGGGATTTTCTTGACATAAGAGTATTCATGTTAGGGTCAGGTTTAGGAATTAGAGAGGAGTAGTTTATACAGTAAAATCACGCAATGAAAACTTTTTTAGATCACTAAAGGTGGTTTTATGCTGATTTTGGAAAAATAAGTAATTTTTGATAAAATTCAAGAAATCTGCGTCATAAGACCAGGTACACTTTCAAGCCATGCAAGAATTTTGTCTATGCCACAAACCCGAAACACACCTTATGCCGCAAATGTATGCACAACAGTTATGTAGATTTGAATTTCATTTCATTTCTCGGCATACCATCTTAGAGAAATTTGTGTTTCAACTGTAGTTCATTACATTGTTTTTTATTATACAGATAGCTGTTTGTGCAAATGTACCTTTTTATAAATATGATTGGTAACGTTGCAAAATCAAGTATAGTTATGATATATTCGAGAATTTATTCAAACAGTATGTAATATTTTATCAATATTATTATTTACTTACCTTGTCCACTCGATAATTAGCGTCTTTGATGAACAGCGATTATCATTTAATCAACCCAATAAACAATACTACGAAAAAAAATGAAAAATGACAAATACCACTAACATGAGCAATATCACAGTTGAGATAACTAACGATATTAAAAGTAAAGATTTTAGACACGAAATTTGGTAACTCATTTAAATTAATTTGTCTATTTGCCTACCCATTCTATACTATTATAAGGATATATAAAAGCGCGATAAATATGAAAAATAATCGCATGACGATTCATGTGTGAAAAATAAGCAAAATTACGAATAAGTCATGCAGACCAATCAACTTAAGATTTTGTGGACGGGACCCACTTAACTCATCATATAAACCATATACTTCGTGATTTCATTACTCCGTTCCTGGTATATATTTGTCACCCAATAATTAGTCACACCCTGATCCTTAAATTTCGTAGCGTTTCATTAAAAGTTGACCTGGGTCATTTCTGAATCGGTGAAAATTATGTCAGAGTTGCCGGCCAAAAAAATATAGGTCGTAGTATCTCAAAAATTCACTATATACCTAACATTAATAATCGTGTTATGTAAGTAAAATTTCATTTTGAAAACTTTTACTTAGAGGTCGAAGTTAGTCATCACAATTTCTTATGTTTGGTTCGTTACACGAGATCCCGTGATTTTATTGGATGGTCGAAAGTGATCTTAAGGCCGGGATTTTCTTGGCATAAGGGTAGTCAATTTGGATCAACCTAAATCAACCTAAATTATATATATGTACAGTAGTCAACAAAAGTAATGCTCAATTTTTGATCAAAAAATAAAATTTTTATTTATTTAATTTTGGTCACATATACATTAAATTTTTATATATATTTATTTAATACTTTACTGAGTGATCTCCTATACTTGTAATAGTGTTGATTCTTCATGTCATTGAGTTTGCAATTATACAAAGAACTGATATATCTAAATTTGATCATACTTTTTGTAAGGTTATTTTAAGGTCAGATTTATTCTTTGAAAAATTATCATGATTCTGAATATTGTCATTTATAATCTTTTAAATATTTTCTATAAGGTTAAGATCAGAAAATCATGGAAGTCAATTCATATAATCAATGTTTTCTAAATTTAGTCAATCTGACACCTTATGAATTAGAACATTGTCATGTTAAAAAATCAAATAGTGAACATTTAACAAATAGATAGTAGTTAAAAATAATATAAGATGATCATTTAATATCTTATTATAAATATTTTTATTAATTTTTTATTTAAAACTTTTGAAATTATCAAAAAAAACTATAGAATTTTTGATATTATTAATAAAATATAATCAAATCATTACTGAGACCTTTCTACTTTTAAAATTTGGTTGCAAACACTTATATTTGTATCATTCATTTATGCAATATTATACATGAACTTGACAGAATTGTTTACCTATTTCTATATTCATTTCATTCAAAAAAATAATATGTTTCCAATAGTAAGCATTCTTATTTTCATTTTGATCACATCATTTCATATATCTTTCTATATTACTACTTGATAAAAAAGATTTCAAAACAGTAATGTGAAAATGAAATCTAATATTATATAAGGTCCTAACTACAATCTGCATACTGTATTAAAAATTTAAATTCTTTACAATTTTTAGCAATAACAAATGTCTTTTCTTTAATATTTTTTTTATTATAATAGTCTTTTCTTGTTTTTTTTAGATCAAGAAAACATTTAAACTAAGATAAATTCTTAATTTTTTTAATTTTCTTATATTTTTGTAAAAACCTTTGGACTATTATTAGGTTATATTTAATCTTGTATACAACTTATTCAGTACTTATTGTACTAATATGAGCAAAGATCATTTTTTTATCTTTTTTTGTCATTTGTTTGTGTAATATTTTTATTTAAAAAAAATTTCTTTTACATATATTTGGTTCTATTAATATCAAAAAAACAAAAAATAAAAAAAAATTATTTCAAAATTCATAAGAATAGTTGACTACTATATATAAACTAACTCATATAAGAGAATCTTAAAATTTTAGTTTAAAATACCTTGGAATCATAATTATTAAAGCTAAAATTAACTAAATTTGCCCAATATCACTAAAAGTTTTACTAATAAAATTATGATCTATTCATTAAATAAATCTGCATAGCTAAAAATATTAGGTTAAAAATAGTTAACTTATATTTTTAAATATAGTCTAAATTCATAGATCTGATCTGGAATTTTGAGGATTCTTCTGTATAAGTTTATAAAAGCTGATAAATATAAACAAAATAAATTAGAAAAAATCTAAATATAACCTGTACTTATCATAAAATTAAAACTCATATGACACAAAAAATTGACATGTTTGTTAGTAATATAACTTAATCAATTTTTTTAAATAAAAAAATAAAGGTTTTTTATATAAAAAAATAGATTAATAATATCTTTATTTGTTAAAAAGTAAAGATGCAAATATAATATTTTTATTTATTTATTTTTTTTTTAAAGTAAGCCTTGCCTATATTTTTATTAATTATTTAAAATAGTTATATATATATATATTATGACTAAGGCCAACACTTGTAGTTAGAGCTAACTATTAAACTGCTAACTATATAGCTACTATTATTTGTACAAAATAAATAAATTGAAATTATATGTAAAAATAAAAGCTTAAACTAAATTTATCTGCAATCTAAACTTACTAAAGTGATTAAAGCTTACTTATATTTAAATATTTAGTATATAATTTGATAATATGCTATATTTGATCTATAGAATAGACCAAATATTAATTTTGCAAATTGCTTAGTTGATAGAAGAACATGTATTAAAGTAAATATGTAATTGATCTGAAAGTCTGCAAAGACAAAATAAATATAATTTCTATAAAAATGTATATGCCTAGTTACTAAATTGAATAATGTTAAGAGTTTGTTGATTAGTTAAGATTGAGGTCTATTTAATTGTTTTTTTTAATTAAAGAAGTGAATACAGTATGTTTTTTATAATTGTTCATAAGATTGTTTATTAATATTAAGAAAAATATCAATAATAACTTAAAAAGCAGTTTTATATAATATGTTAGAGTTTTGAACTGTTGATATAAGTAATTTTGAAATAAGTTCTTTGAGAATAAGATTAGAATAAAATGTGTTAGGTAAGATGTATAGAGGATTGAGAACTAGGTAATAAAGAATTTTATAAATTAGATCATTTTTTTGGTAAGTATTAAGATCAGATAATTTGCTAGAGACAATTTAGTTAATAGAGATTTGAATAATTTAGTTAAGTAAGAGTGTATTAGCATAAGTATGTTAGTGAGAATGAGAGTTAGATGGTTACAATAAAAACAGTTAATATCTGGGTATTGGTTTGAATAAATAGTATGAAATAATTAATATGTTGATAACTCATTAAGAAAAATTTTGATTTTAAAAGAATTTAGTTAGTTGAGTCTAAAATTAGTAATATTATATGAAGGTTTTTGATATAATTAAAATAAAGCCAAGTAGATCTCTAGTCAATATCTTGATTAAAGTATGATCACTCACTGTTACATTTTTGTGATATTCATATAACTAATATGTGGGCTTTATATATTTGTTTAATAAAGTATCTTGTAGGAAGTTCTATTAAAAAATATGATAAGAGTTGTAAAGATTTGTATAATTAAAAGAGAGGAATAGTAATAATGAATATTGTTTGGCAAAAGAGTCTGCTTACTCATTAAGATTATTATCTGAGTGAGCTTACACTTTGTAAAAGATAATTTATAGTTTGTGTGATTTGATAATATTTGAAAGAGTATGCCAAATAGGTCATGAGTTGAATTTAAATAGCTTATTAGAGTAAGTTAGATTAGATTAAAGATTGTTGAATTTGAAATTACTAATTAAAAATCAATAAAAATATTAATTATTGAATTGTATAGA